TCTTGTCCTCACGCTCTATCTCTTGAACTGTTGTTTTACTTATTGTCATGCTACAACCCACTACGATGGATCCGCCTGTAATCATATTGATCACCCCACGGATCGGCCTCTCTGGTGCTGGGGCATCCGGGTGTGGCTGCTCTCTGTCATTATGCCTGCTCAGCTCTGGTGCATCTCTTTGGTGCTTAACATGTCGGTGATCTTTGTCTCTATCATCATACTTTATGAAATTTCTGACATAGCCGCGGTGGATCAGCTTCTCGATCTCGTCTTTCAAGTTGCGGAAATTCTCCATGTCATGCCCAATATCCTGATGGAAATGACAATACCAGTTCGGGTTACGGTTTACAGGATCTCCTCTCATCCTAGGGGGCCATTTGACATAGCTGCCCTCCTTGATTTGCATAAGAATCTTGCCCCACTTTGCATTCAGGGCAAAGTAATTCGTTCTCTGGACTAGGGGAGTTCTAGATCGCCGACCTGATCTAGAACTCCGATGTGGTGATCGGCTCTTTCTTGGCGACCTGCTTCACCTACTGCGCGGTGACCTACTTCTCTTTGGCAACTTGCTCTTTTGCCGTTGATGTTTGTTGTTGCTTGGTTCTTCCTTTTGTTCTCTTCCTTTTCCTGGCCTAGTGTAGCTCTAACCGGGACCCGAGAGCCTCTTCCACCTTGATGAACTTATCTGCGTCATCGAGGAACACCTCCATGGAACTAGGTGGGTTCAACTCGATCTGCCAATTAAAATCTAGGTGGCAGACTCCCTTTTGGTTGTAGTGAGCTACACAGCACGGTCAAGATTCGGTACCTGTAGTCTTTCTGACTTGAACCTTTTAATATAGTCCCTTAAGGACTTGTTCTCCCATTGGACCATGTTCAAAAGGCTAGTCACAGACTTCGGGCACTTCTTACTTGTGACAAAATGTGTTGTGAAAAGATCCACAAACTGCTTCCAACTTTTTATCGAGATAAGGGGTAGACCTCGGTACCACCATCTTGTAGTTTCTCTAAAGGTCATATAAAAGGCCATACAGAGACTAGCTTCATCTGCCCCACGAGTAACATCAGGGACTAGAAGCTGTCAATATGGTCGTTTGGATCGATGCTTCCATTGTAAGTCTCCAGGGTGGGTGTCTTAAAGTTCTTCGGCCGTGGGGCCGAGAGGATCTCAGGTGCTAAGGGGGAAGGCGGGCTGTGCTGCTACCGAGATCACTTCTACCCTTCTCTTCTCTACTTTGGCCTTTGGGACAACACTTCTTCTTCTTGAGGTGCGGTGAGCACGTCGGTGGCATCGGGTCTTGGCCACCTCGTTGGTGCTATTTACTTCTGTGTTGGCCAGAGTCTTAGCCTTGGTATTCTCCCGATCTCTGACATGGTCATGGAGTGGGGGCTGGTCCTAATTACCGATGTTCTCACGAGCAAGGACTGGGTTCTGGTTACCAAGGTGATAGGAGGCATCCTAAGCTGGATCCTCACCCCTTACCCCGAGCTACTGGTTGCTATGTTGTCTATCATCTTGTCGATGGTGTTGCTAGTTATGCTGGTAGTGCTGGTCATGACAGCGCTGGTCATTCTACGATCGTTATTGTTGATCGCTCTGATTACTGTGCTGTAGCTGGTTCCACAGGTCAACAACGAGGTGTCTGGGTGGTGACGGATACCAGATTGGTGCTAGATCTTGAGGTTGAGTCAGGCCCCAAAGTGGGGTTGGGACCCGAGATGGTTCGACCCTCGGGGAGGTGATTGGCGTCTGTTCTGCTGGTTCTGGTTCTGCTAATGGAGAGGAGGGAACGGGTATTAGTACTGATACTGCTGATATTGCAGGGGCTTCAGTGGCATGTAGGCACCAAACCTCTGCTCCCAAGACTGTAACTGCAGGTTCATGATTCAAACACTCTGCACAAGCTCACAGAACTATCGTGCTTCTATCCCGGCGGGAATCATGGAGGGCTCTACCACTGGGAGAGCAATGCACACATGAAGCATGGGTGCATTGACTTGCTGGAGAGGAAAGGGTGGAAGTTGTGCTGCTGATACCCCTGGGAGAGTGAGGGGCACTGGTGGGTGTCGAATCCAACCAAAGATAAATAGTCTTGCTCGAATAATTTGTAGATAGTGATGAGCAAGGTCGTCTCCACAGGGATTGGGTGGATTTATTTCCAAGTAAACGAAGTAAGGGGGCTGTAAAGCTAAGGAAAACAAGAAAATAACAGAAAATAATAGAAAGCAAAAGATTAAATCGATGGGAGATAACTTCCGGTTGAAAGGACAAGTTCAACTTTGATTCTTATCATTGATCATCGATGCAAAGATAGACTCATATGTTTACGAATAAATTGGTTATAGCCATTAACAAGCTCTAACGGCCAGCCTCTACTCGTATTATTCGACAATCAAAACAAGCTCTTTGATTGATTCTCTTATTAATAGACAGTCCTAAACAAACTCTTAGGATTTAATCTATTAATAGCATTAAGAGGGGAGAGACCCAATTCTGGTCAGCGATCTCACAAGCTCAGACTGTTTAAACCAGATCATACATTTTCCTAACATAGATCGAAAACTTTTTTGCAATCAATTTTTGTTAGTTGCCACCATGATTGAACCTACTAATCATATACGAAACTGGAGGTTCAATCGGCCATAGATTATTTTCATTGAATGAGCAAGGGGCCCTTCTTGCTTAATCAATAAAAATAATCCTCACAATTAATTGCAGAAAACATATGAATACCCATAAACAATGAACTGACATAAGAATCAATTAGATCT